TTTTTATGACAAACAGGCCCAGCTTTTGATATAACCCGCGCCGATTCTATTAAAGGCACAACTCATGGTGAAGTGTATTAAAAGTTTCGTTAGTCCAAGTTCAACGATTTTTATACCCTACACAACTATGATGTCAGGGTATTAAATATTGGTCCTGGACTTAAGACTTAATAAAGGCCAAAGGGGATTTCCGGTCAATTAAAACCCCTGTTTAAAGGTGTCTATGCGTAATGATATTTTTTAGTAGTACTATTACCTCACTAGAGTTCCAGTTATGGTCATGGACGACGCCTGTAATTTTCGGTGATGTTGAGATTATATTTATGGGGTGAAATGAACAGAAAACTTAATTTTTGTCAGATTTTTATTGTCTCTCGGGATACCTTTATTATATGCAGAACATGAGATATTTTACACGAAATACCTAGAACGGCTGTTTAGATGATGATCGGTCAATATTCGGTCAAGGTTTAAAAGTGGAGCTGTTGACCTATAACCGATCAAGAGGAATGAAATATCGCGAATTATTGCCCAAGCTCAGAATATAGAAATCTAGATTTTCATGGTAGTTGTATAGACCCCCGGCTATACTTCTCCGCTCACTGGTTTTTAAAGCATAAATTCGGAACCCTTGGGTGAGAATTTTTTTTTAAATCAATCAACATTATATATATATATATATATATATATACAACTTCTATTTAAAGCTCCGGAAATCTAAGGTCTGGTTCCGAAACATTCAATCTTGTTTTAAGATAGAGTGCTATGTATTATATGGGTGCCACTCCAATCGAATTACCATCTGCGAAGTCTTGGCCGAAAGGAATGAGATAGACCCATTTCTTAAAAGGGATGGTGACTGGAGATGAGAAATGGATGACATACGATAACCCATTTGGTGGGACTGGAAGGGGATTATTTATTATGAGTTGTTCCATATGGTCAAACGCTAAATTCTGATCTCTACCGTCAACAACTGGACCGTTTGAAGATAGCAATTGACCAGAAACGGCCAGAATTGGTCCACAGGAGAGGTGTCGTATTCCGCTAGGACATCTACAGTTACTCGCCAGAAACTTTGTTTCTCTATTTTAAGGCTGTTCGTATATAGATTTAGTTCGCCTATAAACTCCCCACCATCTTCAAGCCTTTCCTTCAGCTTGTCTATAAATACCCCCATCATTCAGTTCTATAAAGGCTCCCTGAACTTCATCTAATATATAAATTCCGGTGACCTTCTACACACCGACAAAGACCCCCTGATCTTCAGCTCGACTATAAAGACACTATGACCTTCAGTTCGCCAATATAAACCGTCTTTAGCATGTCTATAAAGACCGTATGCAGATGGACTAAAAAAGCCCACTTCAGTATGTCTATAGAGACTACTTATTTGGTATCACAAATTACCGATTTTTGATATATCTTGCACGCATTTCAAAAACCACCTACTAAATTTTGAAATATAATTTTCTTAATATTACCCGATCTCGTAAATTTTAAACCACAACAAGTTATCCTTATACTCATTTTTCTTCTGTAAAAATTTTCTACAGAACCAATCTGCGGTAATATCAACATCCCACCCAGTAACCATCGAACCAAAAAAAAAAAACACCGACTGTCAAAGTTATTAATTAAAATTATTTTCAATTTTCAAGGGATTTTCATATGCCATTTTTTCGTCTTCCATTCGTCATTCGTCATAGATTTACTCATGCATATCCTTGTGGTGGCGTTGGCCGTCATAGTCATCTCGTCATCTTCATCATCCGCACTTCATGTCTTTTCATTGGATTCATCATCAACATATTCATGGGGAACGGCTTCAACACTCTCCAACGAACTATGAAGTGTGAAAAGTGTCTGTTGACAAGATGATTTAACGAAGAAACAACAAAAGAAATTGGCAGGAACAAGAACAACAACAACAAGAGCTATGAGGACCAAGATACCATGGTGTATGAAGGCAATGATGGCCGTTTGTTATGTATTTTATGATGGCCTATTCCAAAAAGGCCTATCGCAGGAAAGATTTCTCCCCAAGTCAAATGAGTTTTCATCATTTTGACATTGTCGTTGGCTCCCAAAATCCCCTCGACACCAACACCCTTTTTGTTCGCCTATCTTCCAAAGCCAAACCAACATAAAACTGAGTATCAAGAAGACCACCACAATTGCTTTTGTCGGAATTATGAACAAGTTAATGATGTTGAAGTTATGAGTTTTCCTGCCACTTCTTGCTGCCTGTCTTTCCGCCTATGTTAGGTCGGAATTTTGTGAAGAGTAGTAGCGGATTTGTCGCCATCATTGTTGTTAATGGTTTATTTTGTAAATGTAGCCTAAAATTTTGTTGCGTGCCCAACATTATCAAGTGAAGTGGCTGCTTGCTGATGCATTCACCATGTCGAAGTATTTCATTTATTAGTTCTCAAAAATGTTTTTTTTTTTCAGATTGAAGTTCAATGTTGTGTTAGACAAATTTGTCATGGCATTCCATGTTCATGAGTATCGGGAATTTGTTACGCCTTTGTTGCAGAAGAGTATTTTTAGGATTATATCATTTTAATGATGTGGAAGATGAAAACAGTTGTGGAAAAGGAGAGTTCAGTAATATCCTAATAATGTTTACTTGGAGGTCGTATACACATATAACGCAGATAGCAAATTGTTTTCAGCAAAGAATTTTTTCACGGATCAATTGGTCTCCATTACATTTATCTCGCTTTAGCTCTTTTAAAAATATTCCCTTACCTTTAACTCGTCTTTAAAGACTTTCTTAACCTCAACTCCTGTTATTCTGTTCATCTATAAATATTCTCTGATCTTCCGATCGTCTATTAATTCTCCCTGAATTTCAACTCGTATAAAAACCTCTAAAAAGATTCACTGACTTTCTGCTCATCTAAAAATACAGTCTGACCTTAAATTGGCCTCCATGAAGACTCCCCAACTTTCACCTCGTCTATAAAAACTCACTTACTTTCAGCTTGCGTATATAGACACCCTGCTCTCCATCACGCCTATAGAGACTAATGTATTTATCTCGTCTAAAGAGACCCCCCTCAGCTAGCCTATAAAGAATCTCTTTCAGTTCGTATAAGAAGACTTGCTGACCTCCACCTCGTCTACAAAGACTCACTGACCCTTAGCTCGCCCATATAGACTTCCTGACCTTCAGCTCGCCCATATAAACTCCCTGACCCTTAGCTAGATCATACAAGACTCACTGATCTTTAGCTCGCCAATAAAGCTTCACTGACCTTCGCCTCACCCATAAAGGCTCCCTGATCTCGTCTATAAAGCCTATCAACTCGGGTAGAAAGTCTTCAGTACCTTCAACTCCTCTACAAAGATTCACTGACCTTCTGCTCTATAGAGACTTCCTTCTTTAGCTCTTCTTGAATACTCCTTTCAGCTAGTCTATCAAGAATCCCTTTCAGTTCGTCCATATAGTCTCCTTGACCTCCACCTCATCTATAAAGTCTCACTGGCCGTCACCTCGCCCATATAAACTCCCTGACATTCAGCTCGCCTAAATAGTCTACCTGATCTTCAGTTTTCTTATATAGACTGCCTGGTCTTCACTTCGCTTAATAAGGCCCATTTACATCTGCTCATATGAGAAAACTTTGTGATATCCATCTCTATAAAGACACCCTGATATCCATTACGTCTACAAATACTTCCTTCTCAAGTTTATATAGAAATATCCTAAGTTTCAGCACCTCTATAAAGATTCCCTGGCCTCCAGCTATTTCAAAAAGACGCCCTGAACTCTAGTTCACCTCTGAAGACAGCTCGTCTACAAAGACTTTATAACCTTCAGTTTGTCTATAAAGACTCTGCTGACATTCAGCTCATTTATACACAAACCCTGATATTTAGCTCATCTATAAATACTCACTGGCCTTCAGATCTTCTACACAAAATCCCTGCTTCAACTAATTGATAGATACATACTGCTCTACAGAACTTCTTTAAAAAAGTATTCTACAATAGGGAATCCTCTAGAAGTCTTCTGGATCTTCTACAGAAGAGCGATTATAAGTACACAACCGACATCCTAATCGGTAATTTATAGTCATTGTTTACGCCCAAAAATTGAGGTACCATATAAACTACAATTAGCATTCGTTGTTGGCGCCCAACGTGGGGTATGCAATAGTTTAATTAAATGCCTCTAATTGTTATGATTTTTAAAAGATTTTTTATAGATCCAAATCGATCATCCATGGATAATTCGTGTTTGGCGAAAGACTAAATTGTTTTTTATGTGCCTAACTGTTGATGGCGCCCAACGTGTGATGTTCAATAATTTTCAGAAACGTCCTTAAATCTCTAGACTTTTGTGAAAACAGTTCGGCACCTAAAAGACAAATTTTTCTTTGATTTTTTCATAGAATATCGATCTGGGTCCTTAATTCTCTAGACTTTTGCGAAAAAGATAATTATCTATAGACCCTCCATCGCTTTCCTATTCATCAAAGCAATATGCCTCCATTCAAATTCTCCCACTTAAAATTCTCAAATGTCGTTTAACCGAAAACCTCATTAATAGCTCATTCAGCAATTTCCTTAGAAAAGCGTTTCCATCAATTCCTCCACAAAACAAATTGCATTTTCTTTTCAAAACAACTTTTTGTTCCACGCCACACTGCAAACAATGCACACAAAATAGGCAACTAATCTGTATTCAAAGATGCACCGCAGGCAGTCAGGCGGTACTCGAACACAAAAGCGTTCCAGAAAAAAAAACAAACAAAGGCACAACACTGCACTTAATTAAGATGGAGTTCCATTGTCGAATTTGGTCGTTGCGATGTTGAGGAAATTACTTTCACTGTTATTGGGTGGGAAATGCTTGACTTGGTTTTTATGGGTTTACACACCCCACCACACCCATTACCTCGTGTAAAAAAATCTAATTAAACCTGCCGTTTTTTGTTCTCTTCTTTTCATTTCATTGGGACAGGAATTATCAAATTTACTACACTTACCTGGCATAATAGGCTGCTGCAGCCATGGCCTGCGCTGTTTCCAGACTAACTTCGATTTTTTTGCCATGACGATAGGGTAATTTAGCTGTGCCATCCTCTTCGAGCACGAGTACATCCTGAAATTCACCGGTGTCCTCTTCGAAAACAATGGGCAAGGCAGATGGACGATTGTTGTGTCCATTGTTGTTGCTACTGCCTTGTGCAGTGGCAGTTATTGCAGATGAGTTATTATTGTTGCTGTTGGAATTTGGCAATAGACCTGCCTGATGTAATGCCTGTTCCACAGTCAGTTGTTGCATGCCATCGGTATCCGGTTGGCATTCTGGTTCCATGTCTATTATGTCATTTGTAATTGTTTCGCCATTTTGCCCTGAGGTTGGAACAACGGCTGCCGGTTGTGAGTTGTGATTATTGTTGGTTGTCGGTTGGTCCGTTGTAACGCCTTCATCATGGGCACCTAAAGGATGTTCACGCATTCCGTTCACGGGTAACTTGTCCGCGTTATGTTTCTGCATGTTATTACTTAAATGCTGGCCTCCATTTCCTGCACTTTCCGTGGATGGCATTAACTTTTGTTGTTGCTGCTGCTGATGGTGTTGCAATTTTTGTTCCCTCAACTGCTGATACAACATGGATTTATGTTCTCCATCGGCTTTGGTCCTTTGCTGAGGATTATATGGTGCTGGCTGGGCAGGATTTTTCGTACTACTGACATTGGATGCCATGGTTATGGGCGGTGGCGCCACATAAGCCGGCGGCTGATTGTGTGCCAGTTTGTTATTATGGTGGTGGTGTGACTTCTTATCCTGTTCCAGCTGTTTGTCATGGCTGGACTTTTTGTGAGATTTATGACCAGACCGACCAGTGTTACCTTCACCTTGAGCTGCTGCAGCCGCAGCCGCTAGCAATTTCTTCTTTAGTAACCTAGAAGGAGGTAGAGGCGGAGGTGTATTATTTACATTTTGATTACGTTCGGGTGGTGGAGGAGGTAAGGGTAGCGGAGGCCTTTCCTTGATTGTTTCATAGACATGATTTAGCGGAGCAGGTGGTGGTGGCGGTTGTGATTCCATCAGAAAATGTTTCTTAGTATCAACGGGTTCCACATAGGAATCGCTAAATTGAAAATGTGATGGCTGATAGATAGAAGTGGCGCCCGACGTGGGTGGGGCTATAATTTTATTAAAAGTCTTTAATTCTCGGGACTTTTGTGACCAATTTTGTGATCCATTAGCTGCCGGAGGCAAAGGTATTTGAGGCCTGGTTGCATTTCTCTGCATTTGTATGAATTGCTGCTGTTGTTGTTGTTGCTGCTGTAACATGAATTGCTGCTGTTGTTGCTCATTTTCCGTTCCGAACGTTGTCTGACTCAACAAGTTACGCTCGTAGATATCATTCAGGAGATTTGTGGCATTCTTTGAAATGTGATTGAATGTTGATGTTGTCGGTAGCTGATGCTGTTGTTGTTGCTGCTGCTGTTGGTTTAGATGGTGATGAGGATTTTGTAGCTGCTGATGTGGTTGTGGTTGCATCTTTTGATGTTGGATTGGTATGCGGCTCATTGCTTGGGAATTTAGGGATTTTGATGTTAGCTGTTGTTGGCAATGGTTTAGACGTTGCTGCTGTTGTTGATGATTGTGATGTAAGGCTGAAGTTTGCAAAAAATGATTTTGCTGTTGTTGTTTCTGTTGTACATCATAGACTGGACCAGCACCCCCAACTATTTGCTGTTGTTGTTGTTGGCCAATATTCGTTGCACATTTGGTCTTTGGCATATTTGCAATGTTTACACTGTAGTAGGGTTGTTGGAAATGCATTTGCTTTTGTTGTTGCTGCTGTTGTTGAAATTGCATTCTTCTTTGCTGTTGATACTGTTGATATGATGGTCTACTTGTCGTACCACCACCTCCCGATCCTCCACAACCACCACTAACACCGGCTGCCATTGTATTCCCCGTGGTATGCACAATGGCGGCTGTAGTTCCGTTAGTGGCTGCTGCCGATGTGTTGTTGATTGTGGCAGCATCATTGCGTTTCATACCCGCATGCCTGGTACGATGGACAGAGGCCTGGACGTGTGGTATGAAAATGAAAATAAGAGAAAATGGAAAAATATGTTAAATATTTTTGTTAATTACGGAATTTGTAATCATCATAGCTGGAAAAACATTTAAAAATTCCTGTTGGTTTTAAATTAAATTCTGCGTTATTTTGTTTTTTTACATCAGGACAAACACAAGGGTCATAGTGGAAGAGTTTGGCAATGAACTTAAAAATAAACAAAAGGCAGATTATTTAAAAAAATATTATTAAAGCATAGATATAAGGATTTTTAAAAAACAATTTTAGAAGGTATAAAACTAGGCGTGGATTTTTCAAAGATTATTTTTAAAGGACTAGACATAGGCGAGGATTTTTCAAAGATTATTTTTCAAGGACTAGACATAGGCGTGGATTTTTCAAAGATTATTTTTCAAGGACTAGACATAGGCGTGGATTTTTCAAAGATTATTTTTCAAGGACTAGACATAGGCGTGGATTTTTCAAAGATTATTTTTCAAGGACTAGACATAGGCGTGGATTTTTCAAAGATTATTTTTCAAGGACTAGACATAGGCGTGGATTTTTCAAAGATTATTTTTCAAGGACTAGACATAGGCGTGGATTTTTTAAAAATTATTTTTCAAGGACTAGACATAGGCGTGGATTTAAAAATTATTTTTCAAGGATTTAGGCGTGGATTTAAAAATTATTTTTCAAGGATTTAGGCGTGGATGTAAAAATTATTTTTCAAGGATTTAGGCGTGGATGTAAAAATTATTTTTCAAGGACTATCCGCAATAGGCGTGAATTTTTTAAAAATTATTTTTCAAGGATTAGACATAGACGTGGATTTAAAAATTATTTTTCAAGGACTATCCGCAATAGGCGTGAATTTTTTAAAAATTATTTTTCAAGGACTATCCGCAATAGGCGTGAATTTTTTAAAAATTATTTTTCAAGGACTAGCCGCCTTAGGCGTGGATTTTTTAAAAATTATTTTTCAAGGACTAGCCGCCTTAGGCGTGGATTTTTTAAAAATTATTTTTCAAGGACTAGCCGCCTTAGGCGTGGATTTTTTAAAAATTATTTTTCAAGGACTAGCCGCCTTAGGCGTGGATTTTTTAAAAATTATTTTTCAAGGACTAGCCGCCTTAGGCGTGGATTTTTTAAAAATTATTTTTCAAGGACTATCCGCCTTAGGCGTGGATTTTTTAAAAATTATTTTTCAAGGACTAGCCGCCTTAGGCGTGGATTTTTTAAAAATTATTTTTCAAGGACTAGCCGCCTTAGGCGTGGATTTTTTAAAAATTATTTTTCAAGGTCCATATCAAGGCGTGGATTTTTTAAAAATTATTTTTCAAGGACTATCCGCCTTAGGCGTGGATTTTTTAAAAATTATTTTTCAAGGACTAGCCGCCTTAGGCGTGGATTTTTTAAAAATTATTTTTCAAGGACTAGCCGCCTTAGGCGTGGATTTTTTAAAAATTATTTTTCAAGGACTAGCCGCCTTAGGCGTGGATTTTTTAATAATTATTATTTAAGTACTATCCGCAATAGGCGTGGATTTTTTAAAAATTATTATTTAAGGGCTATCCGCAATAGGCGTGAATTTTTTAAAAATTATTTTTCAAGGACTATCCGCAATAGGCGTGAATTTTTTAAAAATTATTTTTCAAGGACTATCCGCAATAGGCGTGAATTTTTTAAAATTTATTTTTTAAGGATTAGACATAGACGTGGATTTAAAAATTATTTTTCAAGGACTATCCGCAATAGGCGTGAATTTTTTAAAAATTATTTTTCAAGGATTAGACATAGACGTGGATTTAAAAATTATTTTTCAAGGATTATACATAGACGTGGATTTAAAAATTATTTTTCAAGGACTAGACATAGACGTGGATTTAAAAATTATTTTTCAAGGACTAGCCACCATAGGCGTGGAGTTTTTAAAAATTATTTTTCAATGACTAGATATAGGCGTGGATTTATGGTTTATGCATCACTTCTGTGACATATATCGCAAACATAACACCCAAATTTTAGTGATCTACTAAACACAAATTTGAATATCATCAATCATATATTATCGAAGCAAAATATTTAGCAAGATAATGAATCAACATTTAAAAGCCTCTTAAATAATTAAAAAATATATTTTTTTAAAAATGCCCCATGACGAAACACATGGCCAATAAAACAAAAACGCACACACAACCAGTAAGGAAAGTAGTAAAGTCGGACGGGGCCGACTATATGATACCCTTCACCACTATGGGTATATTAAACAGGACTATTAAGATGAAATTGGATGAAATAAAATATGTGATATTTATCTAAATGTGAATCTACCTAAATCTATCCATAAAGTATGTAAATCGACTTCAAACAAATATAAATAGGTCATCCGTTGGGCTATGTCTGTACTTCTACAAAACGCAACTACGTAATTCTATGCTCAATTTTGTAAGTTGTACAAAATTTGATTTCAATCTGACTAACATGAGGAGTTTGATGCCCAATTTACTTGAAATCGGGCGAAAATATATATGGAAGCTCTATCGAAATATTAGGCGATTTCAAACAAACTTGTCACAGGTTAGGTTATACTAATTTCAGAAAGTTTTGTTCCTATCAGCCTATTGGTTCCTTGGTGCATCAATTACTTAAAATCAATCTATAATAAAAGGAAGCTCTATCTAAATCTGGACCGATTTTCACGAAACAAGACAGACATCACTCTAGGCTCAATTCAGTACGTTATGCCAAATTTCGTGCAAATCGAAGGATATATAGGGACTTTGGTGCACCATTTACCTAAAATCGGGCGAAACTATATATGGGAGCTATATCTAAATCAGGACAGATTTTCACGAAACTTGGCAGACATCATTCTAGGCTCAATTCAGTACGTTATGCCAAATGTCGTGCAAATCGAAAGATATATAGGGACTTTGGTGCATCATTTACATGAAATCGGACGAAACTATATATGGAAGCTATATCTAAATCTGGACCGATTTTCTCGGAACTTGGAAGACATCACTCTACGCTTAATTCAGAACGATTTCGTGCAAATCGAAAGATATATAGGGACTTTGGGGCACCATTTAAATGAAATCGGACGAAACTATATATGGGAGGTATATCTAAATCTGAACCGATTTTATCAAAACTTTGCAGACATTACTCTAGGCTCAATTCAGTACGTTATGCCAAATTTCGTGCAAATCGAAAGATATATAGGGACTTTGGGGCACCATTTAAATGAAATCGGACGAAACTATATATGGGAGGTATATCTAAATCTGAACCGATTTTATCAAAACTTGGCAGACATCATTCTAGGCTCAATTCAGTACGTTATGCCAAATTTCGTGCAAATCGAAAGATATATAGGGACTTTGGCGCACCATTTACATGAAATCGGACGAAAGTATATATGGGAGCTATATAGAAATCTGGACCGATTTTCTTGAAACTTGGCAGACATCACTCTAGGCTCACTTCAGTACGTTATGCCAAATTTCGTGCAAATCGAAGGATATATAGGGACTTTGGTGCACCATTTACCTAAAATCGGGAGAAACTATATATGGAAGCTATATCTAAATCACGACCGATTTTCACGAAACTTGGCAGACATCATTCTAGGCTCAATTCAGTACGTTATGCCAAATTTCGTGCAAATCGAAAGATATATAGGGACTTTGGGGCACCATTTACATGAAATCGGACGAAACTATATATGGGAGCTATATCTAAATCTGAACCGATTTTCTCGAAACTTGGCAGACATCACTCTAGGCTTAATTCATTACGTTATGCCAAATTTCGTGCAAATCGAAAGATATATAGGGACTTTGGGGCACAATTTACATGAAATCGGACGAAACTATATATGGGAGCTATATCTAAATCTGAACCGATTTTCTCGAAACTTGGCAGACATCACTCTAGGCTTAATTCATTACGTTATGCCAAATTTCGTGCAAATCGAATGATATATAGGGACTTTGGTGCACCATTTACATGAAATCGGACGAAACTATATATGGGAGCTATATCTAAATCTGGACCGATTTTCACGAAACTTGGCAGACATCATTCTAGACCTAAATGATTAGGCTGTACCAAGTTTCGTGCAAATCAAGATATTAGGGACCGTTTACATTAAATCGGTTAAATATATATATGGGAGCTATATCTAAATCTGAACCGATTTTTCCCAATTTCAATAGGGTTCGTCCTTGGGCCAAATAAGTGACTTGTGCCAAATTTCATCCAATTCGGATCATAAATGCGACCTGTACTTTGTTTACAATTTAACATGGACAGACAGACGGACAGACGGACAGACGGACAGACGGACGGACGGACGGACGGACATGCATAAATCGACTCAGAAAGTGATTCTATGCATATTCTCAAAAGGAACCATGGGTCTATCTCGATTATTTTTGCCTGTTACAAACATATGCACAAAGACATAATACCCTGTACCACAGTGTGGTGAAGGGTATAAAAACGTGAATTCGTGTTGATTTTAATGTAACCCAAATAAAAGAACACGATGACGAATGTTGTCCTGAACAGAAGAATTGATGTAAATGCCCATTTTTATGACAAGTGCAACATTGTGATGCTTGATGGGTGTGTGTGTGGCTGTGTATGTATGTCCCTGACAGACAACAGACATCATAAAATGTTTTGGTGGCCCAGTAGCCACAGAACAATAATTGTTGCCTTCCCTGTCGTGGTAGTGTAGCGTTGTGGCACAATCCAGTCAATCATAAATGAATGATAAGTGTGTACATTTCGGGAGATATTTTTAGAGATGATTCGCTTTTCGATTTTCAGTGGTTGCTTGTCGAGATCACTGACAATTAATTTAAACATATACTATAGATTGCATCCAAGGAAATTGAAGGAACGCCCAAGTGGATTTTGAAGAATTTTTCCAAGAGTTACATGTATTTTGTAATGGAATTCTTTTTATTTAGGGAGCAAATTTCTTCAATGATTAATGTTAATTGACACCAAAATGAGAGAATGGAAAAAATTCCCTGTTCATGACATTGGCAATTAGGGAAAATTACATTTGGAAACAATATGTTTAAGCATGTGGATAAAAGAGGACACAACTTGGAAAACTTTTTTAACTAAATAATAATAAAAAGTTAAAACACGTATGCCACACTTCTATATAGCATGTATTTGCTGCAGTTAGGAACTTAGGTCTATCTTTAATGGGAAATTCATATAGTCCTATATAACAGCATGGTTCGTGGATCTTTCCGGAGGAGTCGCTAAACTGCAGATTGAAGCACTTTCAAGCCATTCAGTCATTGAGAATAAAGTACAGTAGAGCAGCGAGAAAAGCAAATCCTATAGGTTGTAAAAATGAAAAATAAAAGAAATAAAAGAAAGAAAAGATTCTACAGCAGGACCTACAGATGCTAAAAATTGTAACCCACAAAGCAGCTCAACCAACGCAACTTGTAATTGCAAAGACACAATTCGAATTTTTCCAGAAAGAGGGGTATCGTTACCATTATATGAGAGCTATACCCAAACGAAAAACGACACAGACACTTTTTGTATGAAGAAGGAGTCCAAATGAGTCCAATGAAGGAGTCCAAACACCAAAAACAGCCAACAATGTCAGTTACTATTATTTGGAGACTAACCGGACCCTTGGACCAATATTAAGTATCCAACATACAAAATTGCAGCCAATAATTTTGAAACACGTGTCCAAAAAACGAAATTTGGAATGTAGCGTTATATGGGGTTTACCCTAAAAAGTGAAGCAATATTGGGTACAACATCAATACAGTGAAAACCCGAAATACCAAATTACAAATGATTAGGTTGAGGGCTAACCTACATTATGGATCGAAATATACCATTTTTAATTCCAATTTCAACCTGAGAGCAGTAGTGCACATTTTAATAATATGAGCTCTATTTCAATCGACGGACATGGCTAAAGCGGCATAGAATTGTATACCGATCAAGAATATATACTTCATTGAACTCATTAGAATATTTTGAGCTGTTGCAAACGAATAAAACAAATTCAAACACACTCCAACACAAGGTGGTCTAAAGAGGGGGTATAACAAGTAAAATAATGTCACTCGATTTTGCCGACAGATATATACCCTCAGCCTATTGTTTGCGGAGATCTTCGGTATTACACACAGGTTTTATTATTCGCTTTATCTAAAATGTACGTATTTATCAAAGAGGTTTCGGATTTAATATTGACCAAATCGGTTATTCAATTCGATTCAAATTAAATTTACAAGTTTATAAAATATTGACCCTTTGTGGGGAAGGTACCAGAAGGAGTGGACCAATTGGTCCCCTATTCGAAATTTATATTTTAGTAAATATAATTGGTTGTGAAAGTTTGGTTCAAATCGGACATTCTATTCGCATGATATTGGATTTATAAATATTGAATGGTCTATTATGTGGGAGATACCAGAAGGAGTGCACCAATGGGTCCCATCTTTGGACTTGATCTAAGCTTGGTAAAGAGAATAAGTTGTACAAAGTTTATTTAAATCGGATAGTTCGATCGCATGATATTACAATTAATTATGAGGAAACTCGTGACCATTTTGTGGGGGAGCTATCGGAAGGATTGGCTCGATATTCCCCATCATGGAAGAAATATGCATGTGCAAAGTATGGATGAGGCGGCCAGAAAGGCAGACGGACGTACAATTGAAAATCGACTCCAAGTTGTCTGAAACGGATTTGGTCCAAAGAAACAAGGGGTCGGAAAGCAATATTTCGATGAGACACATTTTTGCCCATATTAGCCATAAGGCTGAGGGTATAAAAAGGCATGATATGGTGATTATTTCAATCGAAGATTGTAAAAAATTGAATGCACTTCGAACGAAATGGCAAAGCTGGACATGTGACGAATTTTCCCCTGGGACAACATAGGCGGGCAATTCGGAATTAAACACCACAATTCTTTTGCCTGCAGTTAAAAGCAAGAAAAAGTGTCCTAATCAGAGTAGAAATGATGCTTCGACAATGGGTATGAGACCATGACTAAGTGTAAAAATCATGCTGGTGAATATATTAAGGAAAATAAACCTGTTTTTGATGATAAATATTCCCAACTTTAATTATTTGGCCACAAATATATTAAGTAGCTTTAGTATAGCCTAAAAGGGCTCCATGTGTGGGAGAGCTTCCTAACGATTTGGAAAACTTAATTCGGGCGCCATTCTGGGTTTTCTTCCTTTTGATAAAATATACAGTTTGAAATCAGTAGTTCGTCTGGTACACTTTATACATTATCAAATGATAAATAGCCTCTACAACCATATGACTAAGGTGCCAACGCATTGGTGTTACGTAGTCAAACCCAAAAGTCGATTTTTAGCCTTTACGATTTTTGCCTCCGACCAAAGAGTCTATTTTAATTTTTTGTTAAAATGTCGCCTTTCCGTCCTTTGATTTCGGTAATCCTGTTCAAAATTGATTTTCAATTTTTACCGAGTAATGAAAATCGGTATTATATTATACATGTAAAACACCAAAAATATTGTTGGGCAAATACTGGGAAGACATGTAATTTTTTATCCATCCACTAATCATATCCACGAACCATTATACAGTATGATTGAAATTGTACTAAATAGTCAAGACTCAACCCAACAGTTATTGTCAGACACCCTGTGTCAATGTTGGGAACGCCTATTCTCACTAGCCGCCACAAGAAATTGTTTTTTTTTACTGGTGCTGTTACAGATGATTGTGAGGAATCTCCATCGCTGTGCCTGTAATGAAACAAAAAATGAGAACAGTTTTATTAGTACAAGTTATAACCACACAGAATTTCGAAAAAATTGTAAAAATTAGCTAAGTCAAGAACCACATATATTCGAATATACTTAATTTTCTTGTTGATATGTAGATGTCGCTTGTATATGTTGGATGAACTACTTTTTAGGAATAAGCAAAGACACAAACTGGTGGTGTTGTTACATTTATAAAAATTTATTAAAAGGGATGTTTTATGTGAAACTTTCTACTTTGCAAACATCTTTTATGGGACGTATTTTCTAAGGGGATGTGTGTTTGTTTGGACAAAGACATTTTATGTCTTAAATCAGCCGTGGTACAGCGTCTTATGTCTTTGAGCATTTGATGAGAATATACTTCGTACTCTATTCAGATTTAAATTACGCTCTCATTTTTATTTTCGTCCGAATTTATGTAAGTGGTGCACCGATGACAATTGTCCGATTAACTTGACATTTGACACAGGTCACAAAATTTAGTTTTGAATCCTGTCTTCCCAATATGTATACAATATAAAGCTTAAAAACACCTCTTGCATGTAACCTCTGCGGTGAAGGGCATTAATTTGTCCACGGTCCGAATTTTTTCATTTCAATTGTAATATTAATTTCTGAACGTATTTTTAATACCAACACTTACCTATTACTATCCTCCACAGTCTCCAAACGTTGCTGCTGGGCCTTACCACTGGCTGACCTGCGATTTGTTCGTTGCGAACGATTTGATTTGGAACGTTTTAACATTTTATATCCTTTATATGTACAATAGGATTCTCAATTTTGTAAATAAAATATTACGCAAAATATGCGTCGAAAAAAAAAGAACACAAACAAATAAAATCCTTATCTTTACTTCTTCTTTTCAGTAGTTGCGACACTGACGTAGTTCGTGTTCTGTCATTACAATCATCAACCTTTGCTTTGGAATGTTTAGTTCCAATAATGTTGACGCTGACAATAATGATGAGTGGATGTCGTTGTTGATGTTATGGTTCTTGTTGTGGGGCAACATTTGTACAAACAATTTTATCTGCAAAGATATGGGAAGGAGGGAAAATAGTTATTAGTAATGGAAACAATACGAAACAAAAAAATCAAAGCAATTCTAATGATATTCATTGATGTTTTGAGATTTCAGTGAAAATAATATGGTAATGAAAATATGCAAGAGGTGTGGGGGAGGTTGGTAGTAATATTTGTAATTAGTGAAATTGAAAAGGTGTATGTAAACAAAATTGACCTTTGTAATATGGCGAACTTTGGTAAATACACATACAAAAAATAGACTTGACAAAGTGGTAGCCGAAAAATAGGCTATTAAGAAGATGATGAAGTGATAGCCGAAACTAAAGCCGACAAGTAAGGAAAGTAGTAAAGTCGGACTGGACAGACTATATGATACCCTTCACCACTTTGGGTATATTCTACGTATGTCTCCTAACAGACTCCGTCTTTTCAAAAGAACATTGACATAAAAGTGAACAAACTTGAATATGTGATCCTTCTGGAACCTATGCTATGTCAGCATCTGATATCTGCTACATAATTAAAAAATCTATAACGTCATTCTGGTCTCAATTTGATACGTTTCGTGTCAACCGGTGCAACATTTACCTAACATCCAACGAAAATACAAATGGGAGCTATATCTAAATCTGAACCGATTTAAACAAAATTGTGTATCAATCGTACAAACTTTGAGTCTTTAGTGTACACTTTACATTAAAACGATGGAAAATATAGTTCAGTTAAAATCTGATGAAAACATATGGAAACTTAACAAACATCATTCTGTATTTTATTTAGTACGCTGTGCCAAATTTCGTGCAAATCGAAAGATATATAGGGACTTTGATGCACCATTTACCCTAAATCGGACGAAATTATTGTGGGAGCTATATCTAAATCTGAACCGATTTTCAGGAAACTTAACACACATCATTCTAGACCTAATTCATTACGCTGCAAATCGAGAGATATATAGAGACTTTGGTGCACCATTTACATTAAATCGGACGAACATATATATGGGAGCTATATCTAAATCTGAACCGATTTTCCCAATTTCAATAGGGTTCGTCCTTGGGCCAAATAAGTGACCTATGTCAAATTTCATCCAAATCGGATCATAAATGCGACCTGTACTTTGTTCACAAAAATACATGGACGGACGGACGGACGGACATGCGTAAATCGACTCCGAAAGTGATTCTATGCATATTCTCAAAAGGAACCATGTGTCTATCTCGTTTCCTTTTGCCTGTTACAAACATATGCACAAATACATAATACCCTGTACCACAGTGTGGTAATGGGTATAAAAATCTACTTCTATTGGAGCACTTGATAAATTATTTAAAAAAACTGCGGCTGTTGGAGCCCTTGATAACATATTGTATTAAAAATCCACGAATTATTCTGGTCACAAAAGAAATATTTTTTTTAACTTCACGCCTGATTCAGGCCTCTAAAAAATCCACGTCTTCTTCTGGTCTCTAAAAAATATTTTTTAAGTTCACGCCTGATTCAGGCCTCTAAAAAATCCACGCCTTATTCTGGTCTCTAAAAATCCACGTCTTCTTCTGGTCTCTAAAAAAATATTTTTTAAGTTCACGCCTGATTCAGGCCTCTAAAAAATCCACGCCTTATTCTGGTCTCTAAAAATCCACTTTTTTTTTGGTCTCTAAAACATCCACACCTTATTCTGGTCTCTAAAAATCCACGTTTTCTTCTGGTCTCTAAAACATCCACACCTTATTCTGGTCTCTAAAAATCCATGTTTTCTTCTGGTCACTAAAAAATATTCTCTAAAGAAATCCACGCCTTATTCTGGTCTCTAAAAAATCCACGCCTTATTCTGGTCTCTAAAAAATCCACGCCTTATTGTGGTCTCTAAAAAATCCACACCTTATTGTGGTCTCTAAAAAATCCACGCCTTATTCTGGTCTCTAAAAAATCCACGCCTTATTCTGGTCTCTAAAAAATCCACGCCTTATTGTGGTCTCTAAAAAATCCACACCTTATTGTGGTCTCTAAAAAATCCACACCTTATTGTGGCCAAATAAGTGACCTATGTCAAATTTCATCCAAATCGGATCATAAATGCGACCTGTACTTTGTTCACAAAAATACATGGACGGACGGACATGCGTAAATCGACTCCGAAAGTGATTCTATGCATATTCTCAAAAGGAACCATGTGTCTATCTCGTTTCCTTTTGCCTGTTACAAACATATGCACAAATACATAATACCCTGTACCACAGTGTGGTAAAGGGTATAAAAATCTACTTCTATTGGAGCACTTGATAAATTATTTAAAAAAACTGCGGCTGTTGGAGCCCTTGATAACATATTGTATTAAAAATCCACGAATTATTCTGGTCTCTAAAAAAATATTTTTTTTTAATTTCACGCCTGATTCAGGCCTCTAAAAAATCCACGTCATCTTCTGGTCTCTAAAAAAATATTTTTTTAAGTTCACGCCTGATTCAGGCCTCTAAAAAATCCACGCCTTGTTTTGGTCTCTAAAAACTCCACGCCTTATTCTGGTCTCTAAAAATCCACGTTTTCTTCTGGTCTCTAAAAAATATTCTCTAAAGAAATCCACGCCTTATTCTGGTCTCTAAAAAATCCACGCCTTATTCTGGTCTCTGAAAAATCCACGCCTTATTCTGGTCTCTAAATAAATCCACGCCTTATTGTGGTCTCTAAATAAATCCACGCCTTATTCTGGTCTCTAAATAAATCCACGCCTTATTATGGTCTCTAAATAAATCCACGCCTTATTCTGGTCTCTAAAAAATCCACGCCACTTCTTATCCACGCCTTATACTGGTCTCTAAAAAATCCACGCCTTATTCCGGTGTCAAAAAATCCACGCCTTATTCTAGTCTCTAGTAAAAAACCCATGCCTAATAGAAGCATCTGAAAATTATTTTTAAAAAAATCTCTAAAAAAATTATGTTTCAGAACATCTACGCCTATTGGAGGCTTTTTAAAAAAATTTTTTTTAGAAAAAAATCGCGTCATTCAGAGGCCTTCAACTAATATTTTTTAACGCCATTCCGCTTTAGGGGATATTTTTTTAATCCATGCATTTGAAGTACTAATTTTTTTTTTTTTTTGTAATCGAATCTAATATTCGCTGATACTACCCGTGCTGTTATATTGGTCTGAAGCATGGGTACTAGCGACTACGTTGGCTAGGTCATGTTGTGAGAATGGATGAAGATGCCCCAGCCCAAAGGGATATACATAATAGCGAACCAACTGATGGTTCACGCAGAAGGTGGAAGTGGAAGACAACATTGCCGAATATGATCTTTCAAACTGGAAAAACTGCGCAATAGACCGACGCGCCTGGAAATCTTTTTTAAGCTCGTCCTATGGAACGAAAGTTCAGCCACAAGCCAACTATGTAAGTAAGGAAATTTGCGTCCACAAATTATGAATATCGATAGATTTTGGGGTAATAACCCACAGAAATTTGAATAATATCCACCTCATGATGGGGCTTTTAAAAAGCACAGCCCGACAGAACTTAAATGTGTTTATTCATACACATATATTTTACTATTCAAATGCAACATGTTTTTATGTGTCCCAAATTATTGACCTACCTTCCACAATGGAAGCCTACGACCATACATCTGTTTCAGTGAGAATTCACTGAATATATTTAAAAAAAAATGCAAGTTTAATTTTTTTAAACCCACGTCTTTTAAAAAACCGACGGTGTACAATGAACAATGTTTATTTATTATTTTATTGTTTTTAATTTAAATTTAAATCATTTTGATGTTTATCTTTGTCATAAACCAATTGAATACCAGGAGTTCTTAATTTAATATTCTTATACGATTCTTAAAAGTGCTTGAATTGCAAAAAAAAAATCAAATATCAAAAACAAGAGAGATATTTTTATAGTGACCGTTTTCATCACGGGAGTGACATTAATTTTTCCAGCTCTTTATATTGCAATTTAATGGCCCACGTTTTCACGTTCGTTATTTCAGGTGATAATGATGATGCGGATGCATGAGGAGTACGAGCAAAGCAATAATTGTGGCCCCTCGATGTGATGCATTTTTATTGTTGGTAGGGGAATGATGTGTTCTTTAGGGGATGATGTGTTGATTTCATTCACCTACCTAGTAAACAGTCACCTGCAGCTTTGTAATGTTTTTAAATGGTTCGGTAGGATGTCATGTTGGGGAGCCAGTTATGAAAAACACACTCAATTGTTATCTATTAAAACACAACAACAAACATATAGGTGCGTAGTTAATAGGAATGCTTTGAAAAAGGGGAAGATTGTCAATCTCACTTCCCGTGATTTATTTGCTAAGGCAAACGGAGGAATGTTATCTCTAACATGGGACTCCCATAACTACATGTTGTAGTTAATCATCAAGCTATGAAAATGGAATTGTTTGGAAAATAAACGCATGCAGACTCCTCCATCCCAACATCTTTCGCAGCTAAATACATATATCATAAACATCCAGTGAAATGAATGAGAATGTTTGTTTGCTCACATGACTTGTGGGTTATTTTCTAAAATAAGTTGCCAACTATAAAAATAGCAATCAAGTACCACACTCCCTGCTTCACATCTATAGCATGCCTCATGCCTGTCATTATAAAAACAATGAACTTAACCCCATGGCATTGCTAATCCCACAGCACAGTGTCTGCCCAACCAACAAACACCTTAATTTCCTGTATCATATTACCCCCTA